GCAGGGCATGAAAGAGGTAGAAGGGTAGGAAAGTGGTAGCAAGACATGAAAGATGTAGCAGTGTATGAAAGAGGTAGCAAGGCACGAAAGAGGTATCAGAGCATGAAAGAGGTAGAAGGATAGAAAAGAGGTAGCAAGACATGAAAGAGGTAGCAGGGCATAAAAGAGGTAGCAGGATAGAAAAGAGGTAGCAGGGTAGGAAAGAGGTAGCAAGGCATGAACGACGTAGCAAGGCATGAAAGATGTAGCATGGTAGGAACGACGTAGCAAGGCATGAAAGAGGTAGCAGGACAGGAAAGAGGTTGCAGGGTAGGAAAGAGGTAGCAAGGCATGAAAGAGGTATAAAGGTAGGAAATAGGTAGCAGGCTAGGAAAAGGCTAGAAAGGCATGAAAGAGGTAGCAAGGCATGAAAGAGGTAGCAGGGCATGAAAGATAGCAGTGTATGAAAGAGATAGCAAGGCATGAAAGAGGTAGCAGGGCATAAAAGAGGTAGCAGGATAAAAAAGTAGCATGGCATGAAAGAGGTATAAAGGTAGGAAAGAGGTAGCAGTGTATAAAAGAGGTAGCAGGGCATGAAAGATAGCAGTGTATGAAAGAGGTAGCAAGACATGAAAAAGGTAGCAGGGCATAAAAGAGGTAGCAGGATAAAAAAGAGGTAGCAGGGCATGAAAGAGGTATAAAGGTAGGAAAGAGGTAGCAGTGTATAAAAGAGGTAGCAAGGCATAAAAAATGTAGCATGGTAGGAACGACGTAGCAAGGCATGAAAGAGGTAGCAGAGTAGAAAAGATGTAGCAGGGTAGGAAAGAGATAGCAAGGCATGAACGACTAGCAAGGCATGAAAGATGTAGCATGGTAGGAACGACGTAGCAAGGCATGAAAGAGGTAGCAGGACAGGAAAGAGGTTGCAGGGTAGGAAAGAGGTAGCAAGGCATGAAAGAGGTATAAAGGTAGGAAATAGGTAGCAGGCTAGGAAAAGGTTAGAAAGGCATGAAAGAGGTAGCAGGGCATGAAAGATAGCAGTGTATGAAAGAGGTAGCAAGGCATGAAAAAGGTAGCAGGGCATGAAAGAGGTATAAAGGTAGGAAATAGGTAGCAGGGTAGGAAGAGGTTAGCAAGGCATGAAAGAGGTAGCAAGTCATGAAAGAGGTAGCAAGGCATGAAAGAGGTAGCAAGGCATGAACGACGTAGCAAGGCATGAAAGAGATACCAGGGTAGAAATGAGGTAGCAGGGTATGAAAGAGGAAGCAAGGCATGAAAGAGGTAGCAAGGCATGAACGACGTAGCAAGGCATGAAAGATGTAGCATGGTAGGAACGACGTAGCAAGGCATGAAAGAGGTATCAAGGCATGAAAAAATTAGCAAGGCATTAAAGAGGTAGCAAGGCAGGAAAAAGGTAGCAAGGCATGAAAGAGGTAGCAAGGCATGAACGACGTAGCAAGGCATGAAAGAAGTACCAGGGTAGGAAAGAGATAGCAGGGTAGAAAAGAGATAGCAGGGTAGGAAAGAGGTAGCAAGGCATGAAAGAGGTAGCAAGGCATGAAAAAGGTAGCAAGGCATGAAAGAGGTAGCAAGGCATGAACGACGTAGCAAGGCATGAAAGAGGTACCAGGGTAGGAAAGAGATAGCAGGGTAGAAAAGAGATAGCAGGGTAGGAAAGAGGTAGCAAGGCATGAAAGAGGTAGCAAGGCATGAAAGAGGTAGCGAGGCATGAACGACGTAGCAAGGCATGAAAGAGGTACCAGGGTAGGAAAGAGATAGCAGGGTAGAAAAGAGATAGCAGGGTAGGAAAGAGGTAGCAAGGCATGAAAGTGGTAGCAAGGCATGAAAGAGGTAGCAAGGCATAAACGACGTAGCAAGGCATGAAAGAGGTAGCAGGATAGGAAAGAGGTAGCAGAGTAGGAAAGAGGTAGCAAGGCATGAAAGAGGTTGCAAGGCATGAAAGAGGTAGCATGGTAGGAAAGAGGTAGCAAGGCATGAAAGAGGTAGCAATACCTTAAGCCTACTGCAGGACGACATGGAATGGCAGTGGGCGGTGTTTGAACCAGGGACCATCGAGACCACTGAACGACAGTCCAGCGTACATACCACACAACCAGGCAGTCGTCCTTCAGAAATGACTACAGTGAATACTCTAATTTTTATTTATTTAACAATATCTAGATCCATATTTGTACTGTAAGACTTAAACATTAGGTCTATTTGAGTAATAATTTATGTTAAAAAATGGAAAGAATATATTGAAATAAGTATTGTGTATTGCATTCCTAATACCATCTCAGACCTTGACCTTACAACATTCTCCTTCGTGGTCTTGGAAAGATGTCTGCGATAGATCAATATGATAAAAGTAAAAGTTTACTTAAAGTTCGAATTTAACACTCATTTAGAATAAAAGTATTGAAAGCGAATTTATTTAAGGGATCAATCATTTCTTAAAAACAAATGGGAGGGATTAGTAGAACTTATTTTATATTTCTTTTCCACAAAGGCACTGGATCTAGAAATCTAGATTAAATATAATAATAATAATAATAACAATAATAATAAGGCTTGTCTTTAAGTCCGAAGATTAATGAGGAGTGCAGTATTTCCCTTAGCTACGCAGCCCCAGCTGTGACCTATATATTTTGCAACCTCCAGGGCAAGCATAAGCATTGTCCGCCGGTGGTTGATTAAAATTTTCTTTTCGCCGCCTGCGTCTGTCCTCGGCGGCAAAATTTTGTTTTGGTCTCAAATGTGTATCCCACGGCCTTTGTGAGTGACCTTCAGCAGTTTCGTTCTGAAGCCGCATGCAACAGGTGCTCTCTTCTATGTCAGCTAAGGTAAATTAGCGCTTAAGCTGGTCTTCAAAGCGTTTCCGTGGGGCTCCACTGTTACGTCGACCACCAAAAAGACTGCTTTTGGCATATGTTTGACCCCTATAATGGATACTTGCTCTGCCCAGCGTAGATATCGGACTTAAGAAGTCCCTCTATTTTGACAATACCGGCGTTCGCATAGACATCGCTGTTTGTAATGCGGTCTTGCCAACGTAATTTCTTGATGCAGCGCACGCATCTTAGATGAAAGCGTCCAAATAGTCTTAGTTGCTTTCTGTATAAGGGTCGTTCGTAAATGACGTCACGCAAAAAATGACCTTTTTTGAGCCTCTCTGGTCACAAAGTATCACAAATTCTCAGACCCCCCTCCCCCTCTGCGTCACGTCACAAAATATAAAAAAATTATTTATTTCAACGTATTTATTTCTCATCGACTTTTTCCCAATGAGGTTTCATGTGCTTATCAGTAGTATACTGGGAAGGTTTTCTTTCTTCTTCTGCTTGAGGAGCTGACTCGACAATGAAATTGTCTTCAATGAGATCTTCATCTCTCCATTCCCCACCCTCCTCACCTGCGTTTCCCAAAACTACAAGGACTTCGTTGTCTTTTTTTTTAAATAATTCTTTTTGGATTTCTGTGTGTTGACGTCGTTAGTTTTTCCGGAAATTTAAGATTTAGTATTTTTTAGAAGAACAACGTGAAATTCTCAGTCGGCTGTGCCAACATGATGTTTTCAGTTGAACTCCTCAAACAAGACTGAAATATCTCTATATTTTCAATGCTTTTTATTTCAGAATAAAACTACATGAGAAGTTCATGTTGAAATGAGTACCTAAAAAATGTTATTATTTTTCGAAGATTTTTGAAGATTAAAAAAATATTTTATTTGTGTTTTTTTCTGAATTTTAAATTTGTGACGTCACAAAATCGCTACCCCCCCCCCCTTCCCCCTTGTCACAAAGTGTCACATTTTCTCAAACCCCCCCCCCTCCCCTCCTAGAGCGTGACGTCATTTACGAACGACCTCCTAATACATATGTCTCATATAGAAGGGTTGAGAGAACCACCGCTTGGTAGACACTGATTTTTGAAGGCAGGTGGAGCGATTTATTCTGCCAAACTGTCGCCTAAAAGCTTCCAAAACCACTACTGGCCCTGGCCAGACGGTTATCAACTTTCCTTGAAAGCGAGGTGTCATTTGATACTATGCTTCCTAGATATAAAATGTCTACCACGTTAAGAGGCTGCCAATTTACGGTGATCTTTTGGGGCTGAGTAGGTTTTATTTGGTGACTTCTGAAACATAACTTCTGTTTTCCCAAGGTTTATAGATAAACCGAAAGAGGCGGCAGCGTATTCAAATTTGTTCACCGCGATCTGGAGATCATGTTCATTGTGAGATAGCAGGGCGCAATCATCGGCATAGAGAAGTTTTGTTATGACCATCTCATTTGATTTTGTATGGGATAGTAGACGTCGAAGATTGAACATATTGCCGTCCCAACGAGACCTGATGTAGATGCCTTCGTGCAATCGCTGCCTTAATACATTGAAACAATGCATATACAGTGTGATTAACAGTAGTGTGTGCTAAATAGTTGAGACTAAGTCTAAGTTTCCAAAACAAACACAACTTGGAGTTGTGTATTCGAGGCTAGCAACTTTTTTTTTAACGTTTTAAAATCTCTCGCCGCTGATTTATTTGTATTCAGTAGAAGAGATTACATTGCCGAAAAAGCATCAGACAAAAACGTAACCGTTACTTGTTTTCACAACAATTAAGGTTAACATAGTTCAGAAATTGTTTAAATTTGACGATCATCAGGCTGCCTATTGTCCTTTGTTGTAGACATATGTTTGTACACGAACTAAGTCCTTGATATTGGGATTCTCTCGAAAGGCACTATCTTTATTTCCTATGTAAGCCCAAAGATTCCAAGAAACATAAATGTTTTTGTTGGTGCGTTTACCAGCCTACAAGCTTGAATTCCTATTTTAACTGTTTTTATGTACCACAAAGTGGGCTAATCAATGACAAAAATGTTCCTGTACATCACTCAGTCATTATCACGTTGTGTATAAGTCGTGTGTCCTGTGCCATTCTATACAGGCTGAAAGGTCCAAAGGCAATTTATTACTATAACTGCTTTTCCCAAATCACTAGTAGAGAAACCTCCACAATTCTATTTGCTCTTGTTTATTTTTAAATCAATGTAACAATATTATACAGTTTACAAAATGTCAATGTGAAAAAAAAACGACACAAAAACGATGAAAAAACTCTCAGTTTGTTCTCTTTTTACACAAGCAATTTTTGGCGAATATGTTGCATGGAAATACAACTGTCTCAATTATCAATAGATCTATCAATATCTTTTGTTGTTAACATTATGTAATAAATGCGACTTTATTCTGTATACATATAAAGTAGTTAGTATTTTTATGCAAAGAGCAATGTGAATAAAATACGGGAGAGAATCATTGAGAGCATTTTACGTTTATATCTGAGAAAGAAGTATAAGGTAATACTTCTATTGCCAATGTCTGAGAAAGAAGTATAAGGTAATACTTCTAGTGTCAATGTCTGAGAAAGAAGTATAAGGTAATACTTCTGTTGTCAATGTCTGAGAAAGAAGTATAACGTAATACTTCTGTTGTCAATGTCTGAGAAAAAAGTATAAGGTAATACTTCTAGTACCAATGTCTGTGAAAAAAGTTGAAGGTAATACTTCTAGTGTCAATGTCTGAGAAAGAAGTATAAGGTAATACTTCTAGTGTCAATGTCTGAGAAAGAAGTTGAAGGTAATACTTCTAGTGTCAATGTCTGAGAAAGAAGTATAAGGTAATACTTCTAGTGTCAATGTCTGAGAAAGAAGTTGAAGGTAATACTTCTAGTGTCAATGTCTGAGAAAGAAGTATAAGGTAATACTTCTAGTGTCAATGTCTGAGAAAGAAGTATAAGGTAATACTTCTAGTGTCAATGTCTGAGAAAGAAGTTGAAGGTAATACTTCTAGTGTCAATGTCTGAGAAAGAAGTAAAAGGTAATACTTCTAGTGTCAATGTCTGAGAAAGAAGTATAAGGTAATACTTCTAGTGCTATTGGTGAGATAAGCGAGTATAAAATTAACCTAGGCTACTTTTGTGGCTTATATTGGAGCCAGTATGGCTATTCCATTCCTTATCTAATTAATGAAATTAGAAAAATAACTATTCGAAATATTTCTGTTTTAAAATTCTTTCCATTTGAAATAAAAAAAAGTTTATGTAACATCTGGCGTTGTATTATGTTCAAATCTTCAAGAAGTTGTGTTGTTTATAAAGTTACACAAGTTTTATTTGATACATGATCAACAATACAAACAAGTTATTACTAGATATGTCAAGGTTGGTAAAGTACAACAAATGGAATAACATGGACTATGTGTTATTCATTTTCTTCTGGTCGCCTTCTTAATGGCGCCATCTTTCTTGCCACGACCAATAAGTTTCCCAGCAGGACTTGGAGACTTAGTTCCGGTCTTTACTCGAGATTTCTTCCGCAGGCCTTCAACTTCTTGGACATGTATCTTGTAATTTGGAAACAGTTCTGAGTATCTGGGAACATAGGTAGGTGCGTAGGTTAAAATCGTGAAAACGTTGGAGTGGTCTGTAGTGTTTAATAGACATCTAGGATAAATGTATGGAATAGATTTATGCAAACATATTGGTTGCAGTTTTGGAATAGCTTTGAATATATTTCAAGTTAATAATCTTGTGGAATATATAGGCTAGAGTTAAAAAAACTAGTGCAAACTATTTAGGAATATTTAGTTTTTATGTGCCCATGTGATTTATGTTTAGAGATTTTCACCTATATGGCGAGGAAAAAAAACTGATAAATAGCAATCTTTATATCTGGTGTGCAGAATAAAAGAAGTGTTTATAAACTGTATTCATTCTAAAAGTTCTATAATAATTTTCGTCCACTTTGTTTTTCACTGCACAAAGTTTCAAAGCTTTTATTTTTGTGGCTCATTTTTTGGTCTATTGATTTGGCAACATTGAAGTTCGATTTGGCGTCCTTGACATTGTTTAGTTGATCGAGAAAATCTCCAACAGGAAAAATAGTTCTGAATGTCAGGTAGATTTACATCTGAAGGGAAAATAGTTCTGAATGTCAGGTAGAGTTACATCTGAAGGGAAAATAGTTCTGAATGTCAGGTAGAGTTACATCTGAAGGGAAAATAGTTCTGAATGTCAGGTAGAGTTACATCTGAAGGGAAAATAGTTCTGAATGTCAGGTAGAGTTACATCTGAAGGGAAAATAGTTCTGAATGTCAGGTAGAGTTACATCTGAAGGGAAAATAGTTCTGAATGTCAGGTAGAGTTACATCTGAAGGGAAAATAGTTCTGAATGTCAGGTAGAGTTACATCTGAAGGGAAAATAGTTCTTAATGTCGGGTAGAGTTACATCTGAAGGGAAAGCTCGACATTGCTTGTATCTAATTTAATAGAGGTACATACTGTATTGATTTCTAAATTACCTTTCTAATAAAGGCACATACGAGTATTGATTTGAATTGAACTCTCCATCAGCTGTTAAGAGCTCCTAAAGAAGGAAAAGAATAACATGAATTACCATCAGTTCAAGAAAATGTCATTGATAATTTATTCATGTACATTTTAAAAGTTTTTCACATATTTTGTTGCTAAGGAGAAAACTGATGACTGAATGCGTAGGACGTAATTAACTTTGAAGTGATCTCTGTCATCTAAAAGAAGTTTAGTATAAACTGTTTGGCGACCAGCAGAATTGGGTTTGCTGAGCGCAATGAAAAACAGATGCCCTCCTCCCTACACGTTTGCACATAGCGCACTGAGCAATAAAATGTGCACATAGCGCACTGTGCAATAAAATGTGCACTAGATCTGTACAAAGGCAAAAAAAATAGAAAGAGGTCAAATTAAAATTTTTAAATATTTAAAAAAAAACATTGTTTTTTAAATCACACTTTTTTACAATGTATAGTAAAAAATTACATTCACAATGAACGAAACCGACGAAATTTTTGTTTCTTTTCATGTCTGACTTTTGAAACACAAAATGTTTCTTGTATAAAAATACCATCACAATGACATTTCGACAAAGATTCAATAACGGAAATTAAATTCACAGAATTCCTTTTTTTTTTTGCTCTCCCTTCTATGTCATCGTTCCTGGCCACAGAGGCAGTGTGTGTGTGTGTGTGTGTGCGTGCGTGCGTGTGTGTGTGCGTGTGTGTGCGTGCGTGTGTGTGTGTGTGTGACCTTTACATCCTCTGCCCTAGAGACCACAAGGTCTGACAAGGGAACTTTTTTTATCCTTCTATGTTGATCATTTCCTTCTTTGCGTTCATCTGTCCCTTGATTTTGGTCGTAGGGGTGCTGTGACAATACCTTCCTCTTGTACTGGGCAGAAGCTGTTCTTAGCGTGATATTAAGAGAGAGGTCGGTCCATTCTTTTATGTTATCTAGCCAGCCAGGATGACTTTTTCTTCGTGCTCCCTCCACTGTATCTTGAAGGATGACTTTTCATAGTGAGTCATGTCTTACACTATAACCAAACCAGCTCAGCTTTCATCTCTTCACAGTATTGAGGAGTTCTTCCTTTTTGCCAGCCAGAGTGTTGACTTGTAAAAGTACAAACTCATTTGTCTTCTTTTATTGGTATGATTTCCTGTAGCATTTACTCTAAAAGGATTTCGGCCTCTACGTTCAGCGAAGAATAGTTTTAATTTGACTGGGAAGCTGATGTTACGCTTCCAGAGTTTCCATCATAATATACTCCAGACATCTGTTACAAAGAGCTGGAGAGAGAATGCATCACTCCAATGGATCTACTATTATATATATATATATAATACTAAGGCTTGTCTTCGAATCCGAAGATTAGTGAGGAATGCAGTATTTCCCGTGGATGCTAAACCCAAGCTGTGACCTACATATTTTGCCACTCCCAGGGCAAGCATAAGCATTGTCCACAGGTGGATTTAGATTTTCTTTTCGCCGTCTGCGTCTGTCCTCGGCATCAGATTTTCTTTTGGTCTCAAATGTGTATTCCGCGGCCTTTGTGAGTGACTTCCAGCTGTCTCGTTCTGAGGCCGCATGCAACCAGGTGCTCTCTTCTATGTCTGCTAAGGCAAGTTGGCGCCTAAGTTGGTCTTTGAAGCGTTTCGTGGGGCGCCTCTGTTACGTCGACCACCTTTTAGCTCACCAAAAATTTGTATACATACATACATATATACTTATTCTGTACATTAATGTTTCCTGAATAATAAATTTTTAATTCAATAAATAGTTTTAACTTAGCTTTCTAATTTAAAATTCATAGTCGACTAGTTTATACATCATTTCTAAATATAGTCTATGATCCTTTCTACCTAACATTTCAAATACTTTTGTGAGAACCTTTGGATAAAGATCTACATCTTTGGTTCAAGTGAGAGGTCACTAACCTTCTGTACTAAGATGTAGGTCTCGTGAGATGTTAAATATTTGGTGGCGCTCTCAAATTTATGAACATCGAGATCTTTCACCAGACCTACAACAAAAAGACGAATGATTGTAATGATAAAAGATTGTAGTGATCATGGACCTTTCATGGATTGGTCATTGATTGTTGGTTTCTTTGTTGTTGTTGTTTTATTTGTTTTTGTAGCATGTTTTCATTTTGACAAACTTGGATAGAAACTAAATGAAAAGAACAAAAAAAGTGACCTATAAACACGACAAGCGAGTGGCCTAGTGAGTTGTGAAGACTTTTATATGGTAGATATTCAATGTACATCAGCATATTATCTATGTATAGACACATTCATTGAAGTAGAACAATGTAACAAAGACATCGCATTGAGAAGTTTCTAAAGTAAATATTCTGTGTATGTACACCATTGCAGGGCACACAACTAGTTCTAAGTATTTTTTCAGTCCATTAGTATAGTCTAAAACAAAGTTCTTACACATTTTGTGTTTACAATGTGCTCAACTCGAGTGTAACGTTCAAAGTTCATCAAACGAAGCAGAAACAGTTGGCCAGGTTAAACATTGTCCCTGATAAAATTATTGATAAATATTAGAAAAGATCAATAATCAATTTCTAAGGTCGCGATGGGCGGTGTTGATAAAGGAAGCTTGAAGGCCAATTCCTTGAAACTATGGCAACACTCTCAACATCTAATGTAGCAAACTACACAACGACTCATCTAAAACTGTGGAGTCTGTCTCTCTCTCCCTCTCCCTCTCCCTCTCTCTCTCCCTCTCCCTCTCCCTCTCCCTCTCTCTCTCTCTCTCTCTCTCTCTCTCTCTCTAGGATCTTTCTGTTCGATAACGATTTATATTTAAACAATATAAAAAAACAGAATTTTTTCCCTTTCCAAATCAAAAAGTGTAAATAATTTGAAATACAACAATTTTTAAATATTTTGTAGACGTCTTAATAGACAACTGTCTAAAAGAAAAGTAAAAGTATTTCTTAATGGTACAGATAGAAATGGTGCAGACAGAAGAAGTTGGAGATGGTGCAGACAAAAGAAGTTAGAGATGGTGCAGACAAAAGAAGTTGAAGATGGTGCAGACAAAGAAGTTGATGATGGTGCAGACAAAAGAAGTTAGAGATGGTGCAG